GTCTTCAATGGAAGCAAAAGTATATATTTTTTCTTCGATTACAGTATTATAATTTTCTCTATAATGCAGCAATAAAGTTTTTTTCTGAAAAATAATTACACAATGCACCTTTTTTTTACATTACAAGAAATTCGCAATAATACAATAAATCGTTCAAAAACATTCGTTATCGAAATAATATCTTTATCATTATCGCTACATCGGCTTTTACTTTGTCAACGCTTAGTCACGTTACATAAATAAAATTTAAATACTCGATAAAATAGAGGACCAACTTAATGAAATAAAATTGAAGCTAATGCCATAAGAAATCGGGTCACATAAAGAGGCTGTTTTTTTAGTTTACTTTTTGGTTTTTCTTATCTACTTTCATGCCATTTACATACCATGTACCCCTAAGGTACTTTTTAGTTTAGGGTATTTTACATTTAAAGGTTGAAAAAATTTGTCAATGTCAGCTGTCAATTATGTTGATGGTAGAACACAGGCGTAACCATAGATGGGCATAACGTAACTAGTGTTGTATATGGTTGTATATCGTATGAAACTATTTGTAGCAGCAGCATTTTGCATTTGACATAAATATATAAAACCAAGTAAAAAATGTTTAAAGAAACCGGGAGAAACACAAATAGACTATTAACATTAAAAAAATAAAACTCAATGCTATGCTTATGTTTTTACGTTATCGACAGCTGATATTGACAAATGACTTCAACCTTTAAATGTAAAATACCCTAAAGTAAAAGTCTTTTACGTTACGGGTACAACATGGTATGTAAACGGTATAAAAGTAGATAAGAAAAACCAAAAATTGAATAAAAAACAGATTCTTTATGTGACTCGATTTCTTATGTCATTAGTGTCAATTTTATTTTGTCAAGTTGGTTGCAATTCGCTTGTATAGAAATCCTCTATTGAGATGATATTAAGAATTACGCTTTTGACCTTTAGGTAACATCTATAGTCTGAAGAAAAGAGACGTGTAGTAAACGTGGGGATATTTTGTAAAATAAGTTTCTATATTATAAATAAAGTCTCGGCATATAAAATGGTATAGGTATATGCACTTCGTAGAATAAATTTTGAATGAAACAAGTTATATTATTTACAAAAAATAGAAATAAATCTTATGCTTGTGACAAAATTGTTGCACTTCAACATTGAACGAGTTAAATTTAACCAATAAATGACAAGGAGGATTATATGTTAATGGGATTAAACTTTTTTAATCTCTTGGCAATATAAGTAATACTTCAGTACCTAAAATCAACGATTAAAAAACATAAAAAGTTTAAGAACTATCTTTAAAAGTCGCTGTCTTCATTATAACTACTAATAATATTATCATTGCAGTGGAGTGCGGTGGCATTTTTGGAAGAAAAAGCGATTGTATAAAAATACAGCAGGCCAATAAGCACAGCGCCGCAGACGAAAAATTTTCGAGGCGCATTCACCATTTAGTCAAAATCTTGCTTTTTTTTCTTAGTACTACCTACGGATATTCGAGATTGAGATTTTTGAAGTGTTACTATCACTTTATTACCTAGTTTAGTATTAGAAGCTATAAAAAAACTTACCATTGAAAAGCTTCCTTGGTTTATTTAAACGTAAAAAAAAACATTTAACTAAAGTGTTTTTTTATTTTTCCAGCATTTTTCGCACAGTTGACACAGCAGTTGACATTTATTTTTTCTTAAGATCCATTCGCCTATCCTCAATAGCTACAAATTTGTCTATAACATCGTCGTAAAATTTTGGATTTTCTGATAACTGTTTAACAAGCTGTTTTTCAATGGATATTGGGGCTAAATTAGAGAATCTGTCTTCACTTATTGAATTTCGTATGAAACTTTTTATGCGCTTTGAAGATGAAAAATTTCGCTCAACTGGGATGGTTAGTACTAATTCACACAACTTGACAACTTCACAAACCAGTTGTTATAAGAAAATTCAACATATTTCTAATTTTAGTTGTTTCATAAACAACACTTAACTGGGACTTTAATGCTGGAATATCGAAAAAATTTCCATATTTAAATTTTAGTGAATTAAAAGCTTCCAATGGAAATTTTGATGAATCGTAGTTACTAATATTAAAATTCAACAAATTTTAATTCGTTAAAGTTTTGAAATCGAGAGTGCATTTGTTGTAAAATATTATCAAAAATTTCGGCGTATAATCGACGATATGAGATCTCTTTGTCGCCGACATTATCATTTCTAATTCTCTTTTCCTTTCAGGTTCTAAGCGAATGTTTTGAGTCTTATTCAAAAAGTATTATTCATTTTATTTTTGAAATCATCAATTTGTTTAATGCAAAAACAAATGTTATTTGACTTTGTCTGTAAAATGCCGAATAAAATGTCAGTAAAAGGGAAAATCTCTGCAAACATGTTGAGCAAAAAATTGAAATCAAAGTTTTGTTTGGGCCAATGCAAATGCCCTTTGGCGGCAGTAACAGTTTCAGCATCCCATGTTTCTTTATTATCTCAAACGTCTTGGAAGAAGTGCATCAAAGAATCACGGTATTGAAACACTATTTGCACTAAACGTCCATTGTAGTTCCATCGCGTCGGAGTAACTTTTGGAAACATTTTTTGAACGTGAATGTCCAAAGCGCGAGTTCTTTTCGATGACTTTGAAAAGAAGGAAGCCAACACTAAGCGTCAATCTTTAATATTATCCGTGCTTCGTGATAAAACCAAGTTAAGTCTATGTGCTATACAGTGAACGAAAATTGCATGTTTAAACTTCTCTTTTACTTTAGCTTGAATGCCTCCTAAATGGCCAGTCATTACGGCAGCACCATCGTAGCTCTGGGCAACAAGCTTAGAACCACATTCTAAACTTGAAATAATGTCACAAACAATTTTAAACAATGCATCTGCAGTTCGTTCGCTAGTGACGTCCAAAAATCCTAAGAATCGCTCTTGAGGAATGCCATCCAATACATATCGCACAACAATGGATAATTGACTTAAGTTAGCTAAATCTGTGGTTTCATCAAGGGCAATTGATACGAAAGGTGCTTTTTTAATTTCACTTTTAATGTGATCCATCACAACGTCGGCAGTGCATTTATTTTAATCATTTTAGATTCTGTTTGAGGTACTTCGGAAAGTCGTCGAATCAATAAAATGATTTTTTAGGGTATCATCGTATTTTGCTAAAAAAACTTAGGAGATCCATGTAATTTCCTCGATTGGCGGATCCACTTGCTTCATTGTGACACCTAAAACTTAGTTCATGCTCTCCCAGGAAACAAGTTACATCTATTAATCGTTGTAGGGAAGTGGTTCTTCCCCCGCTTCCATGGACCGCACGCCCCTGTATCATTGTCTTTTCTGAGGTTTATTATTATAGAATCTATTAAATTTTCTATTGAGAGATCCACTTTCCAAAATGAATTCTCCGCCTTTTTAACATGATCAATGCATTTTCGCCAATGTTCTCTCCATTTACATCTGAAACTTCATTCAGAAACAAAAAAAGCACATCAGGTAATTTTGAGAAACATAACCTTTTAATTGTGACCAGACCAGTTTAATGGGATTTAACTCTTCAACACATTATATTTTTGTAATTTATTTTTATGTTGCCTTGCTATTACGAATAATTCTGCCTTTAAGGATTTAGGAGAACTGATAATATTGTTAGAATGAAGCTATTTGGAAATATCTGCTTTTTCCATCTTGTTGTAGGTAGTGACTGCTTTAATCGACTGTGATATGATGCATTATCCATAACAATAGCGGAGTTGGCTGGAATTTTTTTATAATGTTCTGAAACCAGTTTTGAAACATAGGGCCATCCATTTCTTCATGGTAGTCTTTTGTTTTCTTTGATTCGAACATTAAGAAACCATCTTGTAAAAATCCATCGGTGCTTCCAATGTGGGTTATTATTTAACAATTTTCTTGTTCTGTTGGATTTTTTAATCAACAAGAGACCCCTTCCATAAAGGCTTGTTTTTAGTTTTGATTGAGGTATCTTGCCAAATGTTTGTTACTGTATGTCCAACATTAATCCATGTTTCATCTAAATAAAATACCTGTTATCCTTGAGTCCGCTATTTTCCTTAAATAATCATCTCTACGCAATGAATTCGTTTTTCTCTGTTAAAATGCTGGTTCTGTCACATTTTTTTGTAACGAAGGTTTTTACGTATTTTTCATCTACTGTATAAGTGTTCTCTTTGAAATCTTAAACATTTTGAATTAACTGTGTCTCAGCATGTAATCTTCTTAAATGTTTTTTTAGATTAAATGTGCTACTGATAGTTTTGATACAAAAATCACAATATGGAAGTTGTTTCTTCTCTTCAGTTTTTATTTGTAATGACAAATATGAATCCTCTCCAGGATTATTGCTTTTAATATGCTTTTTTAGTTTTGATAAATTACTGAATGTCTTCTGACACTTAATGCAGCGTAATTTGATCTGCTTCTGTTCCATGATCAAAAGAGTTTTGGTATAGATAAACTTATAAACACTCGCTTGTAGTAAACACTTATGGCTACATCAATTCTACATAAAATAATTAGACCCGATACCCATTGCCATCATGAATGACACTGCAGAAAGCTGAAATGACAACAGTGCTATTTTTGTAGAATGACGGATCAATTAGCTGCTTGCATCAAAGTTGACTCCGGTACTAGACGCTTGTACTTGTTTTCGGGCTTTACTTACAAAGATTTGTTACACACGCGAAAATAATATTACAGTAAAAATCATGTGCTGTATACAATTTTTGTATCGAGCGCATGATTTGTACAGTAATATTACGGTTTTCGCGTGTGTTGGAACAAACTACAATATTTCAGTGAAAAACTAACGACATATGACACTAAATAAAACAATAGGCAGATAAAAATTATATCCGACTTATACGATAGGCTGGAAATTATTCATCCCATCCTTATACAGTTTAATTGTTATTACTTAATAATCAGTGATCAAATTACAGTATTATTTTACAACAGATCAATCTTACCGTAAGCTTTTATAGAATCAGCAACTTCTTTTTTCATTCGTGCGCTATTTACTTTCCTTCTGACAATAGCACATCGTTGCAAATGTTTGTCGTATGCTGCCTTGCTACGTGTTTGAAACTGTGGTTCAGAAGACATAGATTGCTCCTTTTCCGAAGATGCTTTTGGCGAACAAGGACAATACGCAGGATCTTGATTGGTACGACCTGTGAATAATCAAGCTCGATAATAGATAATCATTCTGAGAAAAAAAAAACAAAATCTTAAAACCAACTGTTTTTTTAAATTAATTTAATTTAATAAAAAAAGTTACATATTTTATTATAATATGCTATATTGGTGAAGACGTAATTGACAAATGACAGTGACAGTAAAAATAGAAGGTTATAGGTATTTATTGACATTTTATTCTTAATATTTTTAAGAATATATTTATTTTAACATTACAAATATTCTGGTCACCATATATTTTAACTACTGTTTTAAGATCTTCAAACAATATTTAAAAAAACTAATAACATAGTCCTATGTCAATTTCAATAACAGGATAGTTTGTTATTCTATTGATGGGGTCTCTAATATTATAGACAAGATACAAAGTTATCCTATGAAAATTCGATCCAAAAACCTCCATAAACATATTTCTTTTCACGAAGTAATAATCATGAAAACTCCTAACCCGCTTATCTTTCTAGTTTCGAAGATTAAGACCGATTTTCGACGAAATTTCGATACAAAATTCCGAGAATTTCTCAAGACACATAATAAATCTACCACCCCTTTTTATCCACCCAAATTTTTTCTAGTTTCGAAGATTAAGACCGATTTTCGACGAAATTTTGATACAAAATTCCGAGAATTTCTCAAGACACATAATAAATCTACCACCCCTTTTTATCCACCCAAATTTGTTCACACCGGAGCTACGACAAATTGACGTCACAAAAGCCCCTAAAACGGGTATAAAGTCCCGACTCGGGATTTATTATTATTTTATATTCAAAAAGCATTTATTATTTTATATACAGTTATAATTCAAGTTCACTATTCAGTACCTTTCTTAAATCAACGCTCTTCCTAATCAACGTCTATCCTACAATACTACCTATCCCCTGAACGCTATCACGTCCCGCGTCACCTAAGTATTTCATACCGTATATTCATCCCGACGGTCAACGTCCCGATGCTCAACGTACCGCCGCCCTACTTCTCTACCTGTTTACATCCCCAACGCTATCACGTCCTGTACTACCTAAATGTATCCGTCCTGATGACCTTTCTTTTTAACGCTGTCACGTCCAGACGATCAACGGCCCACACCTTATTTCCCAACGCTTGCTATCTCTAAATATTTCCGTCATAATATCCTTGACCACTAGTTCCATCATAATATCCTTGACGACACCCTTCATCGCGCATCACCACCAAGTATTTTCTACCGTATATTTGTGCCGACGCAGTATTGTAATAAATATCTTTCTCTTTGCCACGACGCTTGGACGCAAGGCCACGCTCAATGGTGAGTCAAAAATGTTACCACCAGGGTTTCCTTTGTACAAGGGCCTGACATTTTCTTTATAATATTATCAATGTAACCCAATAAAATACATAGCCTTTGGACATTCGCCCCGAAAGACAGTTAGGTAACCAACTGGCGAATTGACTCTTTTCGGTACCTTCGTTGGTCATCACCTCTATACTCGTCGAAATAATTACCTAAGAGGGTACAATCCTGTGTATATCTAGGATAGAATCAAGCTAAATAAAAATATAAACATCAACGCAGTAAGTTAATCAACTGGCGAATTGACGCTGTTTGTTTACTCCGTTGGTCATCAAGCTAAATCAAATATATCTTGATAGCAAATGAACGTGGTCCGCGTTTAAGCGGGACTATCGGAGAGTGCAGTTGAATATTTCAAAAGACTGCTCGTAATTTAGGTCAAGAACAATCCCGTATGTTTAAATATATGTTAAATTGAGATCATTCTAAAAAAATAATGATTGCTAAAGTTAATGTTTAAAAGCAAAAGTAATAGTATGCCAATAAAAATAATTTTAAAATGTGTAGAGAAAATCAACAAAACCAAATCTTCTGAAGCGCAAAAAAATCAGGCCATGATACAGGAGAACCAAACTAATATGGAAACAACAGTTTGCGATGCCGAGTAAAAAAATTTAGAAAAAATATAGAGATCACTCTTAAAGAAAGAATCAGCTATACAGGGCTTCACTAAACAATTGCAGGAAATGGCATTAAAAATACAACAAATCGAAATGTTAGGTATGCAAAAACAACAACAACAACAACATATCTAAACATACTCAGAAGAAGACATAGTCAATAAAAAAACAACTTGGATAGTACAAAGAAGCAAAAGAAATAGCAAAACACGAATAATGCGAGAATTTCCTGATATGTCACGTCAAAACACAACCAAAGAAGAATACAACTTACAAAAAGAAACAAAATTAAACCACCCAAATGAAAACGCTCAACAAAGTATTGCACAAAAAGAACAACCAAAACAAAAATTACCACCACCAATAATAGTAATTTAGGTTAAAAACTTTGAAGAGTTAAGACAAAAAGTAAGCAACACAATTTTGTCTCTACCATATTAAAAAACGATGAAATCAAATTAAACGTAAAAATGAACAAGAATATAGAACAATGATAACAGATCTCTCAAACTAAGGCTATCAGTGGCATTCAGATAAGATGAAACAAACCAGACCAATAAAAGTAATGGCTAGAAACCTACACCTTACCTGCAAGCCAGAAGATATAGCTGAAAAATTAAAGCAGAGTGGATTAAAAATCTTGGAAGTAGGTAATATCCAAAGGAGAGAAACTAAAGAAGAAGAAAGAGGAAATCAAGTTATAAGTGTTATAAAAAGCCATTGCCGCTATTCAAGAAAATACCATTTCTAAGAAATCACCCGGGTGTGATCTGTTTACAGGTGAAATACTTAAACAATTGGCAAGAAAAGCTGTGGCTAAACTTACTAATATAATAAATGCTGTATTTCGACTAGAGCATGTACCTAAAATCTGGAAAGTAGCTAAACTTTTAATGATACTGAAACCATTGATATACAGTAAAAATATAGTACCAGACTACCAATTTAGATTTAGGAACAAGCATTCCACAATTGTCCTCAGAATAACGAATGAAAGGAAAAAGGATCTGCCTCTCACTCTTTCTAGATGTAGCTCAAACTTTCGATAAAAGATGGTCAGAGGGTCTTGAATATAAATTAAATAATAAACTTCTACCTAGGAAATATTGTGACATAAGATCTGCACCTCACTCTTTCTTGATGTAGCTCAATCTTTCGAAAAATCGAAAAATCGAAAAATTGAAAAATCGAAAAATCGAAAAATCGAAAAATCGAAAAATCTAAAAATCTAAAAATCTAAAAATCTAAAAATCTAAAAATCGAAAAATCGAAAAATCGAAAAATCGAAAAATCGAAAAATCGAAAAATCGAAAAATCGAAAAATCGAAAAATCGAAAAATCGAAAAATCGAAAAATCGAAAAATCGAAAAATATTTATTAAAGAAACCATAATGGTCATGGACAAAGTATAGTATTAAACTCGCAATTTATGTCCATTATTCACGCAGGATGAGGGGCGCAAGTACCCCCTTCTCGAAGGCGGCTCGATTCAAAAGTATCTTTATATTATAGGTTCTCTTTGTTTTTTAAGCCGTTCCATTATGTAAATTGTTTCTAATTGCATTGAGATAATTAATATACAGAGTGACAAAATGTTTGTTGGGCTAAATTGAAAATGAGTGGGATGACCCAAATGGATCTAATTCTTTAATATATTATAAAATATTTAAATCATGTGGGTACCTGTTAAAATTTAGTAATTGTTTGACATATCTACCTTTTTCAATCCGATATGTGGGCATAGTTGATTTTTTAATTCTTGGACTACCTGGAAGCAAAATTATTTACCTGAATATTAAAAATATTACTGTCCTATTAACTGTTAAAAAACTAACCTCTGTTACTGGATGACCCATTGCTTGGTTTAATAGACAAAATGTAATTTTTCCTGAAAAAGTTCATAAATCATTTTGTAATCGTAGGTAAAAATTATTATTAAGTTATTTTGTACACTCGTGGAATTTTCGGTATGATGTAACAATATTTTCTAGCAGTAAAGAAAATATCACTTTTCTCACTTACTACTGTATCAGTGCTTACCTAAAATTATTTTCTTTCTTAAATAAACTTAAGTAGTCCATGTCGATAAAGGACTCTTTAAAAGGTATCGCTACATATAAAAAACCGTGTTGGAATTGCATCGGTTTTTCTAAGACATCTCCAAAAATCGTGCATATACTAAAAAAAATAAACAAATTTGCTAAGTGGTAAAGACATACGGGGTAGCGAAAAAGTCTGAAAACAAGGAATTTTCTTTGAAACGAATGAATGCATAATTATGAAATTTTAGAGGGATGAATGGGTTGGTGTTACATTAATATTATTTTTTCTGATTCTATACATGTAGGGTAAGAATGTATTTTAGGTTGATGAATGGGAGTGTATATTACATTAGTAAAATGGCACTTTTTTAGCATTCTTTAAAAGAGGAAAAAATAAGCTTTTCTCTAATGTATCACTCAACTTACGTTCCCATTTCGAAAATTCGAGATGGCGGCGGTACGCTAAACGCTGACGTCACATAAAGAATACAATCCCATTCGTTCATGTTGCGGGACCTCGCTCTGCTCATCCCGCAAATATTCACTCGTTACAAAAATAAGGCATTTTGCATAAATAACTATTATTTTATATTGGGCTTTTTATAGATCCTTATGCCTAAATTTGACACAAATCACAAAGTTAAGCTACAAAAGCTGCTAAAAGTTATAAGTGCCATATAAAAATATTAGAAATAAAGGACATCGAGCATAAAAATGACAGAATTGTTTTTTTTTTGCACACTCCCTGTCAAAGGATCGGTATCAAGTTATGGCTACTGCTTATCTCAAAACAAGATATTACCTTAACAGTGCACTTGGGAGCCATAAGGTTTCCAAATGTGTTTCTGAGATTGGAATGTAACACTTTTATTTATGCTTCCCATATTTTTTTAAATCAAAAGTGAAAGAAGATATCAAAAGCCTGACTTCATAGCAATGCAGAAGCTCTTCAGCTGCTGGACAATCAGAGTCAATACCGACGATTGAAGAAGACCAATCAATTTGGCATCGTGTAGTGTGCTGTACATGTGTGAAAGCAGATTTCAGTACGCGAGTGACTTATACATAGTAATCAGAACAATCTAATGGACATCGATAGATTGACTTTTAGTCATCAAGAACTTAAATTAAGAATGTTTCTGTTAAATAACAGACACCCATAGGGTGTTAAAAAAATGTTCCGAAAATCTCGTTTTTTATTTACCTTTCTACGCCTTCCGGTATATCAAGTATTTTAGACAAGTATATCATAATAAGATTCCAGTTTTGCAATTCGTTTTCCTTAAATACTGCTTTCTGGGGAACTTGATTATTTCTACCATTCACGGTTATATAAATTATTGTTAACTTCTTTTTCTCAGACTCTATGAGAAACGGAGATTTTTGGTAATTTATTTCACCCTTATATAATTTTTTTTTTACTTTTTGCTGACTTAATAGGTCTCTTTCGGAATTGCTGTTGTAACTACAAACAAAATATATACAATGTTACAATGACTGATCTGTAATACTCATTGGATATGATATATCCTTCTAAAAAGCGTTCCGAAAAACTAGTTGTTTTAAACAAACAATATAGTGAACCGAAATTCATAATATTATAACATAACTTCAATTTATCATTTAATTTTTTATAGTTAAAACACGAATATATCGGCAGAAAACAGTAACCTCACAGGAGCTTCTGAATCGACTAACTGTTCCTGTCGCGATTTCTAAGTACCCCCTTCTCGAAGGCGGCTCGATTCAAAAGTATTTTTATATTATAGGTTCTCTGACTCGAACACCACAGACGTGGCGGACTGGACAGAGGAATAATACAATCCATCTGTCTGTGATTCGCAAACTGCCAAATACTTTGTATACGATGAAAAAATTAGATAATTGCTTATCTAATTTTTCTTCTCTCATACATAACAGGAGCCATAAAAACAACATCGACTAGAGCCATGGCAGTCATTCTTAGTCTCACTCCCCTTGATATTTACATCAAGGAGGTTGCTCTAACGACAATGACACGCCTTTGCATAGTTGGAATATAACCTGATGTAGGATCTGGTGAAACGAGACGAAAAAATAAAATAAAAAAAAACAAAAATAAAAAAGAACAAAAATAAAAAAAAAAACAAAAATAAAAAAAAACAAAAATAAAAAAAACAAAAATAAAAAAAACAAAAATAAACAAAACATTTAAACCATATTAAGTTCAGGTTATTTTAGCTATTAAGGTAGAGCAACTTTAATATAATTTAAAATAATAAAGTTAGTTATATGATACTTTTATTTGTTCATCTGACAATTGACTGGCCTGTTGGTTTATATCCAGTGCCACTAACTTAGTTAAAAAAAAATGGACTCCATCTCACCGAGATATATCTTCCATAATGTCGTATGTCGTATGTCGAGCAGCAATCAGGTGTGAACGTATTCAAGCGCTCCTGTGAATTTTGGCTAATTTTGGAGGTATTTTGTTGCTTTAAATTTATAAAAGTTGTTCAACACATAAAGTTATTAGTGACAAACAGTTGAAAAGTGTAATTGAATAAAAATTTCGCTCGAGATAAGTGGTATTTGAAATTGAAAGTTTCCGTAAATAATATCGATCATTGGAACCTTAATAGTCAATAGGCCATGCCCAGGAATGTGAGTACTCGAAGTGCGAACCAACAAAAGATGGATGAGTCTGCAATGGAAGCAATTATAAATAAGGTATGTGAAAAGTTCATGAACAAAATTGAACAACAATTTGACCACAAGTTTGAACAAATGAGTGAAAAATTCGATAGTCTTTGTCATAAAATTGATAATCTCGATAAAACGGTTGAAACCAATGTAAATGCTATCCAAAAAAACATAAAGAGAATGGATGATATAGAATATAATTTCAAAAAAAAATCGCATAAGGTTAATGGGTGTTAAAGAAATGGATAACGAAAACTTACTGTCGATTTTCATTAATTTATTGAATAACAATCTAAAAATTAAATGTTCATTCCTGGAAATTAACAACATTTATCGAGTGGGAAAATTACAGAAAGATTATACACGAACAATAATTGTAGAATTTGTAAGCTGTATAAAAAGAAACGAAGTGTTCAATTCAAGAAGATGCCTTAAAGGCACCGGTATTTTCATCAACGAAGATCTAGTTGAAAAGAGTTATAAATTATTTATGAAAGCGATAAAAATATTCAATCCCAGAAATGTTTGGACACGAGGAGGAAGGATATATATTAAATCTAAAAACGACGTCGTACACATTAAAGATGAACGAGATTTATCAAACATATTTCCACCATAGGCCTACGGACTATTGAACGATGGTACTGCCAACAAGTTCTTATCTAGAAGATCGGTTTTTGGTTCGGTTTATTTTTATAGAAACATTATTGTTTTGTTGTTTCGGTGATGTGTTTTTTTATAGGGACATTAATGTTTTATTCTTTCTATTTAGAATCGTAATTTAATAAAACTTAAATATGAATTTGTTTGCTATATATATAAATTCTTTTTTTTTTTTTTTTAACTATTTAGTTGACTATTTTTATGGAAACGATTTATTATTATAATAACTCCAAAAATTTTAATTTTAATTTCTATTAATTATCTATTTTCAGGGACACTTAATGCAATGAACGAATTTTTAGTTTATTACCAAAATGTCAGGGGATTGAACACAAAAACTCATGATTTATTTAGGAATACTTGTGAACAAGATTATGATGTAGTTTTGATGACGGAGACATGGTTGAGAGAGGGAGTAGTAGACGGAGAATTAGTTGATTTAAGTAAATACAACCTAATTAGGGCAGACAGAAATAAAGAAATAACCAATAAGGTAAAAGGGGGAGGAGTACTTATTGCGTTAAAAAAAAAGTTTAAAATACTGAAAGTAATAAAGAATAGTACTCAATTTGAGGCAATAATACTCAAAATTAAGATAAAAAGCCATATACAAATTACATTGGCCTGTATATATATTCCGCCGGGTATCTCTTATGCTGTTTTTGATTCTTGCATACATTTTTTACAGGACAACATTACTGCGACTAATGAAAACTTTATATTCGGAGACTTTAACTTACCGGAAATCAGTGGCTCATTCATTCCCAACCACAATTTTAATACAAAACTTTCTACTTTAAATTACTTCTTAAATTTTAATTTTTTTAACTTGTATAACGATGTCACTAACTTTCAAGGAAGGACTTTGGATTTAGTAATATGTTCAGACGAAAAATCATGCAATATTACACATGCATCAAGTCCTTTAATTATTGAGGACTCATACCATCCTTCACTAGAAATTATTCTACAATTTGTAGAAAACTTATCAGAACATGAAGCCAAGAGTAACAGCAATTTTAAATATAATTTAAAAAAATCTTATTTCAATCTTATGGCAGAACTTATCAAGGACGTTAATTGGAATGAGGTATGTTTAGAATCTAATGTAGATAGAGCATTAAATAATTTTTATAAAATTTTAAATAATATTTTTTCAATGTGTGTTCCTGAATTTAAATTATATAAAAATCACAATAAATTTCCGGTATGGTACAATAGAGAAATCAAAGAGTTAATTGCGGAAAAGAATAAGTTAAGGAAAATAAAGCACATTTCAGCCTATTATACTGAAAAATATATAGAGATTAGGAAAAAATTAAAATATCTTACGAAAAAAGAATATACAAATTATGTTAAATCTATTGAAGATAAGGTAAGCACAGACATTAATGTTTTCTGGAATTATGTTAGCAAGAGGAGGGGTCAGAGTTCAACTAATGAAAATTACATTCACGACGATAAGGAAATTCCGTCCAAAGATACAGCACAATGCTTTGCAGAGTTTTTTACCAGTGTATACTCCACAAATGCAACCGACTACAATGTAAATTTTAAAAGTTTTCAAAATATAGCTAACGATACATTTTCAATAAAATCTATAACTGTTTCAGACTTTAATAAAGCTATTAAAAAGCTTAAACCAAAAAAATCAGCGGGTGTAGATGGTTTACCACCATACATACTGAAAGGCTGTCAAGAATGGTTACGTGACCCATTACTGCACATATTTAATCTGATAATCAATAATGCTGCCTTTCCAGAGCAGTGGAAGACTTCAATTTGTACCCCAATACATAAAACTGGGGATAAACGTAGTATAAAAAATTATAGGCCGATATCTGTTATGTGTGCTCCTTGAACAAATTATTTATAGTAAACTGTATGCATTTGTCGAAAATACCATTGTAGAACAACAACACGGGTTTGTATCCAAAAAATCTGTGAATTCAAATCTGTTAATATACATCAACGAAGCAAATGACTCATTAGAAAATAAGACTCAACTAGACACAATATTTACAGATTTTAGCAAGGCCTTTGATAAAGTGGATCATGGCGTCTTACTACAAAAGATTTATCGTTTTGGACTATCTGAAAATATTATGAATCTTTTTAAAAGGTATTTACAAAATCGATTTTTTGTAGTAAAACACGATGGAAACACTTCAGGTAAATTTCACGCTTCATCGGGGGTTCCACAGGGATCTACCTTGGGTCCCTTGTTTTTCCTCTTATTTATTAATGATTTGCCAGATGTTATTAGATATTCCAAATGTTTACTTTTTGCTGATGATGTAAAAATATTTAAGCCTATACAAACCGTTAGAGATTGTTCAGCTTTGCAAAAAGATATAAACAGTGTATTGGAATGGAGTGCTCAATGTAAATTAGACTTTAATATTAAAAAATGCAATGTAATGTCAATTACTCGACAAAAGGATCCAATTATTTTTGATTACTGTATGGATAATGAGTCACTAAAACGGGTATATGAATTCAAAGACTTAGGAATTACGTATGACAGTAAAGGAGCAGCAACAGTTCAAGCACACTTCTTATGTAAATTAACAGGGGAAATCGCCAAGGTCCATTCTGCCACTTTTTGTCTATTTCAAGGTCACACGCCAGTTCTCGCTCGTCAGCAATCAACAATCATGTCATCTATTAACAGTGTTGCCAACCTAGCCTAACATCCGTTATCAGTCAATCCAGTGTTGCCAACATCTGTCAAACTTACCCGACAGTAGATGGTGCAAGAATTACTAACTACATACCATCTGCATAGCCCAACCTCACGAGCTACATGCCGCCATACAACCCAGGCAACCCACCATACACCTAACTTGTTACGCATAGATACTTTTAATTATCGTTTCTATCACTTCTACTTAGTCAACCCAACATACACCCATACTGATATATTTTTTCTACTGAAAAAAAAAAGTTTGAAATGGCCGGGGATCGAACCGGGGACCTCATGCATACAATACATCGTTGCTAACCGCTACTCCATTGAGCCTTTTAAAAATATGTTGCAGGATACCTTATAAAAAAAAATAATTATATTTAAGGCCACAGTACCACCCCCAATATTCGTAACATGAACTAATTTTGACA